TCCTTAGGGAGTGTAGTATCAAAACTTTGTATCTTAATCCCATAAATGTCTGTTTTATGTATCCCATTTAAAATAATCGTCTAAAGATTTCTTTATCCATTTGGGATAAATCCCTTTAAAATTTCTACCTTGTTGGGAAAAAGTCTGTAGTCTCTACATTTTTTTTCAGCTAATCGACGTAATTAGCATTAATTATTATAATGGTTTTGTTAGCGCCTGTAACACCTGTTGCAGGGAAGAGACCACAAGGCTCCCCAGCTGATTTCTCCTGTCTCTGTTAAACTAAGGGAGCTCTTAAGTTAACCATTAGAGATAAAGATATATTTTCCCCCTACCTCTTAATTAGATTTTTTTGTGGGTGCCAATAAAACAGCTGTTTATAGTGAGAACTCTAAAAGTTTTTACCAATTTAGAACTTTCTCCAATTTAAAAGATCCATCATCTGGCCATTATGAGATATAGATTAATAGTGATTCAAACCAATAAGATGCAAGAGGCTTCCCCACAAGAGAGTGGGGAGGATGCCACGTAAGTGAGATGCAGGAAGTTTATTCCCCAAAGTAAAGGCTGGTGCAGCGAAGGTTAAGACGGCAAGAAGCCTGAGAGTGGGTGCAATCAAACAAAAGACTGCCCAGTCTGTTCGCTTGGCCACCAAGTGTACACCGTACTTGCACCTTTTGGGTGGCAGAGACCAAGTTTATTTGTTGGTTTGTTTTTTAAACACACACATACAGATAAAACGCCCAAAGATCAAAGGCACAGGAAGAGAAAAGGAAGTTCCCCCAAGAGGGCTTTTGTTTGTAAGGTCAGAATTCTGAAAAGATGTGTTTACCAAGCCAGCTTTTCTAACTTAACCGTGTGCACAGTGAAAGAGCCCCCTCATTTTCAGGGTGAGATTTCCTTTCATTTCCAGGAGGTACTTGTGCGTATGAGCTCCACGTGCACACGTGTCTGGCCGGAGTGTTAGCTGGAGGTTGGTTTTCTGACGTCCCTGGTTTTTGTTAAAGACGTCGGGTCAGCCACCCCCTAACCTCTCAGCTCAGACTGCTCATTTTCCTCTACTGAGCAAATCCAGTGTTTTCCACCCGGATCCCCCTAACTATCTCCCAGTTGAGGGGGCAGTCAGTCCCCAGTAACCAACTGTGGAGCTGGGTGTCTGTATACACTGCCAAATAAAACTCATGATCATCTACCAGTAACGGGAGATCTGAGAACTGGGAGAGACTCACCCAAATTCGTTTGGACTCTCCGAGAAGGTCGATGGGTCCACGAGGCCCCTGCTGGTGCCAGGCTCCGGGTCCTCGTAGAGTTCAGGCGAAGTCGAGAGAAGCCTGCTCTGGGTGCCTTCGTAACTGGTCATGGCCGGTGAAACTTGCTGGCGATGAGTTTTGTTTTTCTTCCCCACCAGCATTTCCACGACAGTGTTGCATGACAGCCCATCCCAAACCAGGCCATCCCCAGAACAGATGCAGCAAGCACCTGCTTTATTCCCGCATCTGTCCGCACTGGCTGGCGTGATTCTGCCCAGGTTGCAGGTGGCCCCGGCTTTGGGTCCAGCTCTGCTCCCTGAGTTTCCCCGCTTCCTCTGGACCAAAGGCTCTCCAGCTGCTGCTGGGCCGTGTTTCTAATGCCTGGCCGTCCACAGCAAGTCGGGAGATGGGCCCCGCATCAGCCTGGGTGGGCGTTTTCTGAAACTGTGGTTGGAGGGCAGGGATGGTTTGTGGCATTTTTACTAACTACGTAACACAAGCAGACAGAGGGCAGGGACCCAGGCAGCCGTGAGAAGGCGAAATCACCAGCATCGTATGAGGCTTTAAGTAGCTGCGTCCGCATGTGACCGCTGCCCTGCACCCTTGTCAGTGCTGTCTGTGTGGCGCCTGACTGCTATATTTTCCCTGTACTCCCTGCTTCTAGATTATGTTCTAGGACGTTGTCAGCTTCACCTCCCCTTTTCCAGCTTGTGATCTTGAGCACCGTGCTTTCAGTGCCCTCATGTAGGGAATTTGAGTAAAACAGCAAACGACACTGTCTTCACCAACACGCAGATGTGCAGGCAGGGCTGGGGGCAGCTCTGGGGCAGGGAGGGGCAGGAGGACTGGGGTCACTCCCTCCAGGGGGCAGCTGAACCGAGCCCCTCTTCCCCTTGACGGTGGCCACTGGGGCCCCGAGCCCGAGAAGGATGTTTACTCTTGCTTTGGGCTTTCAGGGGCTGCTGAAGTGGGTTTTTGTGAGGCTGTCTTATGATGCTCCCAACTAAAAAGGAGTCGAATTGTCATTGAAAAGGATTCTACGTGGAGGGAAGTGGAGGGACAGTCCTCTGGCTTTGGGCGCCTCCTGCGGTGCTGGGGTTGAGTGCTGGCCCTCCCTGCGCGGTCTCCGTAAGTGGGTGCGTTTCATGAGTCATTGAGAGTTATGGCTTCACAGGCAGGTGGGTTGCTTTTCCCACCTAGAGAGGGGCCTTTGCCAGGAGCTGGGTGATTGTAGAACACGAACCTTCATGTAATGCTGACTGCCCTCTTAGAAGCACTTTGCAAACGTTCTTTTTGTTGGCACAGGAACTGTGTTTGCCCCATTTCTCAGATGCAGAGTGTTTCAAAGTCTTGTCCAGGTGCTGTAGCTTCTGGACTTGAACCCAGACAGTCTGCTCCAAAGGTTTTTCCCCCTAGCTTAGCTAGTGCCTCCCACACCAGATGGGGAGGAGTAATTGTCAACAGGGGGTTTAGCTGGACAAAGGGCCAGGAGAGGGTAGCTTCCAGTGTGGAGTGTAGAGGAGTATTTTCAAGCTCTAGTAGGGAGAAGAATAGAAACAGTTTCCTGGCTGTTGGTTGGTGGTAAAAGAATGAGACATCAAAGGGGATTTCTTCAAAGTTCTAGAGGCACCTCAGCTTTGTAAAGCTACCTGCTTGTTGCTGCTTGTGGTGAGTTTGCGAGCACATCCCCGAGTTTTGTGATGATAGCAGGGCAGCGTGCGAAGGCCTGTGCACACTGCAGGTCACCACCTCGAAGGCAGCGTATGCCCTGAGCTCCGTGTTTCGGGTCTTTTCTTCTTGCCTGCTGGCTCCACAAGGCCGTGGGACGTAACGGCAAGCGTTTTCCCAGGAAAACGGGCATCCTCACTGCTGCTGACTTCCCTTTTGTTTCTTCCCTGTCTGCTCACCCTCCTGCCTGGCTCCACCCGGCTCTCCTGCACACCCACAAGGTGTGTATCCCCAGCCTGGTTCCTGGCTCTGATTCGTTCCCACCTATCTCTAAGGCCTTGCTCAGGAAGCTCAGGTTTGAGCTGGAAGACCCCAGCCAGGAGTTCTGCCCACGTCCCTGACTGGCTGTGCTACCTCGGGCACGTCACCTGTGATCCCGAACCCGAGGTTTACTTTGTCTTGAAACCTGCCCCATCCATCTCCCTCACAGGGCTGTGGGGAGGGTCAGACAAAATACATTCACGAAAGTATCTTTTAAAGCATAGATGGATCATGTTATGAATATTCCCACCCTCCCCAAGTGGCCCCGTCCACTCCCTGCTTTGACGTCCTGCCGAGCTCCAGCCACGGTGCCTCTCCCGACACTTGAGTGTGTAGCTGGGTCCTTGAGGGCCCTGCACCGTATTCTCTGTTTCCCAGCATTCGGTGCAGGGCTTGTTTGCATGGAGAGGAGCTCAGTCATGTTTGAATGAACAGGTGAAGAACGTCTTTCTAAAGGAGGTTTGTGATCACGGGCTTTTCTCTCTTTCTGAGAGGTATTCCTACTCCAGCTCCATGCTTCTTGAAGTTCACCTTGTCAGAAGGCAGACCTGTGGTACCTTCCTGTGTCCCCGTCTGCGGGGCGCTAACTGGCTGCCTTCTCCAAGATCTGTGCTTTGCAAATATTCATCAGATGAGTCTTGCTTTTCAAAAATAAGACAGGACAAGGAATCATTCTAGAGTCTGAATTAGAGATATGACATACTTGATACCTATTTTTCATTTATTCATTTAACAAATGTGTTGAGAACCTTCTGGGTTCTGGGCTCTGTTGCTGGGCTGGGAGCACAGCGGGGACCGAGCAGGGAAGACTCCCGCCCGCGTGGCTCCCGGGCTCATGGGGCGCCCATCAGTGGAGGAGTCGACGCGGGAAGCAGGTGGCCTCACCTGACCTTCAAGCTGTGGGAGGAGTCGCGCGAGCAGGACTCCCAGACCAGTGAGGGGTCCTCACGGGAAGCAGACCGAGGGCGATGCTCTCCGTGTTACTGTGCATTGGGCTCCCTTGAGGGCGTCTGCGTGTCTTGTTAGGGGGAACTTTTAGCTGCACCCCCCACCCACAGGGAAGATAGCTGGCGGGGAAGGTGGCCGCTCCCTGGACTTCCGGCTTGGCGGGGGCATTTCTCTCTCTGTGAGGCCCCTCTGCCCCCACAAGGGCCCTCTTTCCTCAGGCTGCTGATCCTTGAGTGTCTCTGAGGCGCCGGGGAGGACGGACTTGTTGATCCCGCAACCTTTCTGAGCTGTCTTGCTGCATCTGGGCACCCACATCCTCCAGCCCAGGGAAATCGCCTGCTTGCTGTGGCCCGTGTTGAGCCCTGGCCACTGGTGAGCCGCCGGCTGTCCCCCCCACAGACCCCGTGAGGAAACATGCAGTGACACCAAGACACGCTGAGACTTCCCTGAGGAGGTCGTGTGTGGCCCTGGGTCTGAAGGATGAGAAGGAAGGAGCTGGATGGAGACCTGGGCGTGGGGAAGACGTGTGGGAAGTCTGGGCATGGAAAGAAGCTGCAGAGTGCAGCGTGGGGGAGAGCGGCGTGCGAGGGAGCTGGCCTCCAGCGGAGGGAAGCCTGCGGGCCCTGCAGGCCGGCTGAAGAGCTGGGTTTTATTTTAAGCGCTACTGGAGGCCGTTGGGCGGTTTTGAGTCAAAGAAGGGTCTGGTTTGAGTCACAGGATTTGATCTCCCTGGTGACTGCAGTGTGGAGAAGGGACAGGAGGGGCAGGGAAGCATGGAGCTCAGGCACGCTGTAGCCAGGCAAGGATGGGTGGGACGTGTGCCTGGCGGGGCTGCGGCCAGTGAGTGCGGCCCAGGCCTGGAGCACGTGGGGAGAGGAGCTGACATCCCAGAGATGGGCTGCGAAGGAGCCAGAAGGACCCAGGATGGTGACTAGGTTTCCTGAGCAGCTGGGTGGGTGGTGGCGTCTGTGGAGGAACAAAATTTGAGGGGAGAACAGTGCTTCTCTTGGAGGCGTTTAATTTGAGAAGCCTTTCAGACTCTCCCGTGGAGACATGCAGGCAGCGGGCTGTGAGAGCCCAGCTCGAGGGTGGGGGAGCTCAGGCGCAGAGAAGCCGGGAGTCCTCAGCAGAGACAGGAAATCTCTGTCTCCATAACTCCAAGGACCTGGGGGAGGGTTGGGCCACTGTCCTGTCATCATGGGATCTGACGGTTTGCAGTCGCGGTCCCTATCCTATGATGGTGTGTAAGGCTGTTTCTTTTATTTAGTTTGTTCAAGGAAATTTTGAGCTAATTAGCGGTATGTACTAAATGCTGAAAACATCAATATCACTTCACCCAGTGGTTCTGCCTCTAGAAATACATGCTTTTAAACGTCCAAAATGTGGAAAAATATATATTCAAGGTGAATATCATCAATACGTTATTTACGATATGTAGATTAAAAAAAATCTCAGACCCAAAGCCAGCTTTAGTATCGAACAGCAGGATATTTAAGCAAATATTACATCGTTAATAAATGTTATGAAAACTAGTTTTTTAAAAAAGAAAGAGAAAGAAAATATTGAACTAAATGCTGTGTTCCACGCAGCAGACAGACTGGGGGCTCTTTGAGGGCAGGGAGTATCTCCAGCAGAGAAGACAGATCTCTCCATCAGAATTACGTCAGGAGTTCCACCAGGAATTGAGGCCAACGTGACACCTTCTGTGACAGGGACAAAGAGGGCAGTGGGGACATAGCAGGGGCACTGACCTGGTCTGGGGTGGACCGAGGGGGTTTCAGCCGCCCCCGGAGCAGAGCCGTCTGGGGAAGCGTACTTCAGAGGGAACGGGGTGGTGGAAGGGCCGGCAGGAGGTATTGGAGTGAAAATGAACAAAACTCTTTCTTGGAGCTGGTGGAGGCACTCAGGGATTCCGTGTAATGGTAATGTTCATGGGGGTTGATGATACTGGTTTCATGGTTACTTGCTTGCACGCAGGGAGATTTGTTAGTTATTAGGAACTTCCATTGCTCTGTGCTCAGTGTTATTTTGGGGCAAGAAATAGAATGTGAAATTGGCGGTGCATGTGACCTCGGTTACACCTTGTGTGCGTTATTTCAAAGAACCAGGGCACAGTTTTTTGCATGAAAGGCGCTGTGTTGTTATCAGAGGAAAACAGCTCTCTCATTTCACCAGCGTTAGTGTTAACTTTATAGAATTTAAACACAGCAGTGGGTGTGTTCATGTACATTCACAGTATCAGGACCCCAAATTGGATACGACTCTGTTATAGATTGAATAGCAACACATTATTTTTTTTTCCTTGAGTAATCTCATAGAATTTTAAGGAAGCTGTTTTTAGTTTTCCTGAGGTTATTTTTCTAGAGTTTCCTAAAGTGTATTCTTCCAAAGAGCTGACGCCTTGGTTGGGATGCGGCTGTGAAGGCACCGCACCCTTGTTCGCAGAGGGAGATGCACGAAGGTGTGCTGACAGCGGGCGACCACTCCGGCTAGAGGTGCGAGGGACCAGGACTGGGTTGTTGATCATCCCGGTGGGAGCTGTTCGTGGGACAAGTTCCCTGCAGCCCGCCTGTCTCCCCGCAGTCCTGGCTGAGCAAAACTGGCCCAGCAGGGAGGAACCCGGCTCAGGATGACTCTGGGAGCACTTGGCGGGTCCCACCGCGTCTGAGCTGCAGTGGGACGGGTCCCGGGGAAGCTGGAGGGAAGGCAGCGGCCAGTGGCCCAGGTGGAAGTGTGTGGGCAACTGGGGAGCACCTGTTCTTCTCTCGGGCTGTTTCACGTCAGTGGGTGGGGGCAGCAGTCGGCCACGTAGGACTCCACTGGCGGAGTTGTCTCCCAGATGTGCAGGCCTATCCCTCTTTCTGGTCCAGGTCGGAAGTCCCCTCTTCCAAGAACTGCTTCCCTGTCCCTCCCAGGAAGTCATCTCGCCCCTCCCGGGACCCCTGGTCCTCTAGCTGGTCTGTAAGTGCTGTGCCCCCCCCGCCCCCCACCCCCCGGCTCTGACCCTGAGGTCCGGGCTGGGGAGGGGTGCCCAGGCCACTTCGGAGCTCTCCTTCGGTGGAGAAGGAGTAGATGGGGATCCTCTTTGCTTTGTTTTCCTGCTCTTATAAGGGGGTACGGCTTGTTTTGACACGTGTTCATTTCTGAAAAGTCTGCGAAGTCTGTAGATCGTGTGAGGTTATTGTCACCAATGGGAACTTTTTCTTTTCAGACAACGTGGAGGCAAGTGATCTCAAGCAGTTTTTTGAGACCAACTATTCTCAGATCTATTTCATCTTCTATGAAAATTTTATAACACTGGAAAATAGTTTGAAATTAAAAGGTAAGAATTTCTACAACACAATTTTTTTGGGTATACCAGTTTTTTTTTTTAAACTTTCAGGAGGTTTTCAGAGGTTGTATGTGCCACAAGCCACGAGCGACATGCTTTTAAGCTTCCTTTCCTGCCAGACACTTAGCAAAGCTGCGCGCCCCCCGGGGTTGGCGTCCTTCCCGTGAGCTCTCTGTTGAACAGGCGTTAATCAAACAACACACAGCTAAGGGGAAAACGGGAGGAGAGGAAACCCACAGAAGCGTGAGTTCCAGAGACATCATTTACTCAGAAAGAAAGAAAAGTAACATATGCACACGGTTTAAAAAAATTCAGATTCCACCCGAGAGTCTGGAATGCAGACTGACACGTCTCTTTGCCCGGACACCCCAGCCTGCTCTGCACAGGCCACCGCTATCAGGTTTCCTGCCTGTTATTAATATATTGTGTTTATATGTGTTGGTGGTTGTGCCCCTACATACGTGTATAAAATGTTCTTTGAAAACCAAGCCAATAAATACACACTGCACGTTCTGCTCTGTGTTTAGGTGGCAGGATGGCGTAGCCTGGGGAGCCAGCTGGGTTTGGACCCCAGCCCTGCCTTCCAGCTATTTCTCCTTGGACAAGTGACTCCACCTGTCTCTGACTCAGTTTCCTTCTGTCAGGGATTCCAGGACAAAGTATGGCAGGAAATCAGATTACACTAGACCTACAAGGAGCCTTATATTCCAGGCTACAGCATTTGGACTTTGTTCTTTAGGTGGTTAGAGCTCCCGAAAATGTTTGCTACAGTGTCTTATCAGGCGGTGAGTGAACCAGAGGCAGGAAGACCAATGAGGAGGCTAATGTTGTCATCCAGGTGTGGTCTGGTGACATCTGATCCAGGGAGGGGACAGTTAATGGCAAAGAGTGTTGCATCCCAATGGGTGGGCTTGGACGTGGGAAAGGGCTATGAGAGGGAGCCGTCAGAGATGCTTTTAAGATGTTGAGTCTGGTTCCAAAGCTGCCGCTGCCGCAGCGGGAGCCCTGAGGGGAGCCAGGTGGCGGGGAGCGGAGCATGAGTGTGGCTTTGGGCATTGTGGGCCTGAGGGCCCGGGGACAGCCAGGTGCGGGTGGGCAGGAAAATGGAGGGACTGGGGCTTGGGAGAAGAGAGGGGCTGTGATGCCATTGCCAAGGGAGAAAGTAGGCATGGAGTCAGAGAGTGACGGTTGGAGATTTGGGGTAATTCCTTCCTTTATGGGGCAAAGAGGAAGATAAAGGAGTAGCTGGGAATGCTGCCAGAAAACTGTTTTGTCCAGAAGCCCAGGTAAGAGCGGAAGTTGGGGAGTGAAAGGTCAGCAGTGCGTGGTGATGCGGGCAGTTGAGGAACAGTGGGCCGTCTAGGATGTTGTCGCTGAAAAGAGTGTTCAAAGTGTACCACAACCAGAGAACGAAGGAAGGCGCTTCCTGAGCAAATGCAGTCCTCCACAGTCAGTCCGGCCTTCCAGCAGTTCGGGCCAAAACCCAGGTCTACCTTCAGAATCCACCCAGAATCATCGGCCTCTGCTTGCGGCTGGTGCCAGGAATGCTGAGGCGCTCATGGGCCTCACCTGGACATCGCTTCCACCTCAGATGCCATCTCCCCTTCCACGCTGCACCCTCCCCGCTTGACCCCCACCCCACCCAAATCCCTTAAGAGCAGATGGAGGGATACTTCAAGTGTGAGCACCCGGGTCGTGAGGCCCAGATCTCCAAACCCTCCAGCGCCTTCCCGTTCCTGAGGTCGCTGCAATGGCCTCACATCCCACCTGCCTGCCCCGTCTGACCCTGCCCGCTCTCTGACCTCCCCTGCGCTCCAGACACCAGGGCCTCCTCACTGTCTTCTGTCCATCCAGACCTGCTCAGCCCCTCTGCCTGGATCCCATTTCCCCCGCATTTCCACACCCCCATTTCCTCGAGCTTGCTTCCTTACCTCCTTAAGATCCTTGCTCAGATGCCCCCTCCTCGGCAAGATGCCCTCTGACTTCCCGATCAGAGCCACACGCCACCCTTTCCGGCCTTCCCCACCTGCCTCTTGCTTCTCTCCCTTCTTCCTTGAGTGCTTCCTCCTGCAGGACGCAGGCTTCCTCAGGGCAGGACCTGGGCTCGGGCATCTTCAGGTCCTGGAATAACCCCTGACAGAGTGACCGTCTTTGGGATCTGCTCAGTGAATGAGTGACACCTGCTTCACAGGGCCGTGGGGATTCTGTTAGACCTGGGGTCAGCAACTTCCAGCTCCCTGCCTGCTTTTATAAATAAAGGTGACTTGGCTGCAGCCACATCCACTTAGTTACGTGTGCTCTGTGGCTGCCTTTGCGATATAATGGCAGAATTGAGTGGTGGCAGGACAGGCCGCGAAGCCTGAAATGTTAATAGAAGTTCGCCAACCCTGAGTCAGATGATGTGTGCGAGCACGTAGTGTGCGGCGCCCAGGGAGCTGCTGCAGGAGGCATCGGCGTGTTGACTGTCATCACTGTCAGGGGGCCGTTTGCCTGGAGATGAGGGACTTTGCACAGCCTCTCAGTGTCACAGAGCTGGCACTCTGTTTTAGCGGTGTGTCCTATCACAATTTGAGCTCCTAAGTGACTAACTGAGAAATAAATAAAATTACCTACCATGGGTTGATTGAAACTGAGAAAGCCTGGGAGGGCGGTGCGGGGGCAGGGCCGCTGCGTTTAACCACCTGGCGGAGGGGGCGGCTGCGGGGTGTGGGTCACTCACCTGCACTTCTCCTCCGGGCTCCACACTCCCTCCCGGGAGTTTTGACTAAATAAATGTATGTTGAGGCTTTAATGTTTCATGACACCTTTTAACATAATTTTTAATATCCTAAAATTTGCATGTTGTCATGGTAACTAATTTTTTTTTAATATATTCCAGGGAATAATAAGTCACAAAGGGAGGAGCTGGACTCCATCCTCTTTCTTTTTGAAGTAAGTGTCTACTAATACATTTATCTTTGAAGATTCTTGTCAAAAAATTCATATATTAGATCTTCAGTTTTACTTTAAGACAAGTAAAAATGATGGATGTGTGTATCCTTTTTTCCTCTTTTACAGATAGTGCTGCGAAGAATGTTCTTGTGGTTTTTTTTCCCCTTGTGGGAGAATTTTTCCTGTATGGGTGCCTAGATGGGACATTATTAGGTGGGGATGTGTGCACATTTTAAGCACTGATATTGCCAAATTGTTCTTCAAAAAGGTCACATAGATGTGTATGTAAACGTACGTTAATCTTATGTAAATTTCCCTAACCAGCCCTGGAGATGAGTTTCCTTTTAATGTATGCAAACTGACATGTAAAAACCTCACTGTTTCTAACGTATGTTTTTCTGGCTACTAACGAGATTGCAGTCTTTGTATGTGTCCCTGTGTCCACGGGTTGATCACATATTCTCTCCAAAGGTAGAACAGGGGTTGTGGCTTTTGATCTATTAAAGTGAAGTCTTTCTTGGCCAAAGGTATTAGACAAGCGGCCCGATTATTGCCACCTGGAGGACAATGCTAGAGCCAAATTACAGGGTCTGGAAGCTCGCTGTTGCTTATCTAGAAATGACTCACGGTTGGAGAGACGTGTGCTTAGCTTGGTGTGAGATCAGCCTTATGGCCGTAGAGGAAAGATCCAGCGAGCATTTGCTGCAGAGCTGGCTGGAGCGGGAGGCTGGGCTGCAAAGGAGGCTCTCTGTGGACTCCTGGGTTTGTGGAATAAAACAGACGTGGACACTGCTGGCCCAGGACCCAGCTGACGGCTGGCGCTCAGGCCTGTGGTCCCCTCTCTGTCCTGAGGGCCGTCCTCCTTCCCCAGAGTAACAGACACTGATTCACCCCGTGTTTTGTTCTGGTCACTGTGTCTCCTGTGGCCGCCCTCTTGTGACTGAAACCTGTGCAGAGGAGTCGTCTGTGACATGAGCTTTCATGAAGTCTGTCACTTGCACAGGTGTCTGCTGAACACTTGATGCATTTACTAAAGGATCCACAGCACATGTACAAGTTCTGAAGCAAGAGGATAAAGCTCACACTTGGCACCCTTGCCCCCGCCCCCCAGTTTAAGAACCAGAAGCTGCAGGTGCCCCCCACCGCCATCCCTTCTCCTCGAAGGCAGCTCCTCCCCACACTTGGCCTTCCCTTTCTTTCTGTGATCACTGATCTCCGGCAGGTCTAGTTGTCCTGCAGCAGGACAGCCCGTGGTCCTGAGTGTCCCACACGGCGGGCTCAGGGCCTTCTCCTCGCGTCCAGGACGTCTGGGTTAGAGAGGGCGTGGCTCCTGCTGCAGTACCACCTGCCAGGGATGAGCTGCCTTTATGAGAGGACGAGTATCTATTAGTCAGAGCTCCGTAAAGCTTTCATCTGCAGAGTGAACATGAATGAGTGATGAACTCGAACTGCTTCTGTTTCCGTTTCTGCTCTCACTCTGTGTCTAGCTCCAGAAGGCAGGTTGTCATTTGTGTGGTCCTGCTCTGAGAACTAAGTGCCTTCACGGCTACTTTCCACAAGTCAGCGCCACATGAAGAGACGGCTTACGAGGATGTGAAGGCGAATACTTACCGAGGTGTGGGAAAGGCTCCCTTTGGAAGCAGTGGAATTATTAAGGCACATCAAATCACTGAAGGGACACTGTGTAAAGATTGTCTATAAAAAAGAGAAGGGCTGGAAGAAAGCAGAGGTAAGGGAGTTAGAAGGCAGGAAAGAAGAGCGTTAGCAGAGCTGCCGCCGCCCGTGGGAGTCAGGGCTCCCCGGAAGGGGACCTTTGAAATAGGCAACAGCAGTGTTTCCCGTGCAGCGAGCTGCTGCAGACATCACTGCTCCGAGAGAGCACGTGAAGGCTCCCAGCTCGGTCCGCGTCGGCGGGCACACCTTCTCGTGTGCCTCCGTGTCCAGAGGGATCACTTGGACCCCTCAGAGCCTGGCCTCCAGGCTCCGTTGCCTGTGTCTCCCAGTCTGTGTGCCACCTGGAGTTTCTCTTGTTGCCGGTTCATGGAGATGTTTGTCACGTTTTTAAACTGAGGCTGTGACTCCTTAATTTTACTCTTCTTCTAAATCTTACTTTTTTGAGGGGGTAGGTAATGAGGTTTATTCGTTTATTTTTAGAGGAGGTACTGGGAATTGAACCCGGAACCTCCTGCATGCTAAGCACGCGCTCTACCGCTTGAGCTATACCCTGCCCTCTTCTAAAAACATGTTTTGTCTACACTGCTATGTCTTTCAAATGGGAGTGTGAGGATGACAGTGCGGGACCCCATGAAATGAATTTACATCGCCGTCTTGATGAGAATGTGTTTTACTTGGGCCATCCTGTTTAACCCTTTCCTTTCGAAGCAGATTCTGTCTTCCCAGTTTTATCGATGGAAGACGTGGGGCTTTGTCGTGTTGGGTGACTTGGCCAAGGCTGCATATCTGACAAGCGGCAGACAGAGACTGAACCTCTGGTCTCACTCTGGAACCCATTCCTTACTTCAGCACTGTGCCGCCCTGCACTTAGGAGTCCGGATGTTCGGGCCGGAGCCCTGGGCTGTCTGTACCAGTACACACCTGTTCCTGGATGGCCGCTCGGTCGTTAGACACGGCTGTTGGGCACTTACTGCTCCAGGCGCCGGAGGGGGCGGGTGGCTAAGTCCAGGCATCCTCACAGAGCGCGCTTTACAACTGCAGAGTCCACCTTAGGAACAGATGTGCCAGAGCTCCAGGAGCGACTTTCTGAGTCAGAAAATTCTGAGTAGCCCTTTTCACAAGTGACCCTTTGGTGGTGGCCTTGAAGTGGCTGCCTCCATCGGGGAAAAGGAGGTTGGGGTAGAAATGTCAGGCAGCTGGTGCATGGCTTTCAAGGTCAAATAATTCACTGGACTTTGAGAACCTTCTGGATTCAGCAGGTGAGAGGTGTTACTGGTCCAGGGACTTGTTTTATCAGGTGTGGGGAGACTCGCAGACAGGAGAACGGTGGGCAGGAAGGAAGGAGGTGCTGCTGTCCTCACAGACCCTTGGGAGCGGCAGGTGTGGCAGGTCCTGTAAGGAGAAGCTCCAGGGCGAAAAGAAAAGGTTGGGGAGGAAGTGAGGGTGGTTTCTGCGGAAGGAGACCAGCGGGCAAGGCAGTTAGCAGACTAAGCGGGCTTGGATTGGCCAGTTTAAGTTTCTGGGGATCTGGGCTGTGGGTGTGGTCCCTGGTGGCCCTGAGCCTGAGCCCCAGGTGATTTGGGCAGCGCATAGCATCCCAGGGTGCGAGAGCCCACTAAAGAGGGGGTTGGGGCATGGATTTGGGGCTGGCTGGTTTGCACGTCAAAGGCGTGCTGGCAGCTTCTATTCTAACCCTGGGAAGGCGTCCCTCCTGGGGCTGCTGCAAGGCCCTAGACGTCAGAGCATCAAGAGGACGGAGAATTAGAAAATACAGTTGTTAGAGAGGTGCTGTTTCACGCCACCTGCCATGTCATGCGTCTCCTCCCCTGTCTTGAGCAGAGAAATGGGGTAGTTTGAATCGAGTTTGATAGCAAGGCGTTTCCCTCCCCGCCGCGCCCCAGCGCCGGCCTGCATTAGCCGAGGAGGTTTAACGCCAGCACTTACACGCATCCTGGCCTCAGAGTGCTACTTACTCGTCTGGTTTTCAGACATCACAGAGATGGGAATCACACACACATGGGACATTTGACTTCCAGGTCCCTTATTTGTCCGTTTATCCAGATCACCCCACCAGATTAAGTCAACCCTGTTGTTTCCCTTCCCGGAGGCTGACTGGGTTCTGTGTCGCCTGTAGAGTGTGGCCGGGGCTGGTCTCACCCTCCGCGTCCCCGGGGCTCCCTGTGCAGCTCTCTCCCACTGGGCTGTCGCCGTCGCCCGCGGAAGTGCCCTGTCGCACGCTGTGTCACACGCAGACTTGGCCTTCTGCCTTTTCCCTCCCGCGTCTCTGTTTACGCACTTGGCCCCTCAGGGACTGCCCTTTGCCCTCCTCCTCCTCCGGCCCGTTTGCTCAGGCTCCGTTCAGGCCCGCTGAGACCTCTCCTGTGACTAAGGACGCGCTCCCGTGGGCTACCGTCTGGCTGCAGCTGGGCATTCTTCGTTCTCCTTGAAGGTGGCCAGGTCTCAGCTGCCCAATGAGACGTGGCGTGCGGGGCCAGCAGCCACGCTTGTGGTCCTCCGTGTGCCCTGCGGTGACCTCGCTCGTTAGTGTTTATTGTCTGATCGGAGCCTCTTAAATGCTCACCTCATGTCCCATGGGGTTATGTGGTGTTTGTGTATTAAGATGTTTTCTTCTCTCACCTGAAACTCTGGGTTGAGGAGGTAGGGAAAGGCAGCAGCAGAGCGGGCTTGGTTTGTTCATGTTTAATTTTTTCAGGTTGAGATGTGGTTAGTGTCAGGTGTGCAGCAGAGCGACTCAGTTCTCCATCTTCACAGACATGTGCATATATATACACATACATACATTTTCAGGTTTTTCAGGTTATTTTCCCTTATAGTTTATTACAAGAAATTGAGTCTAGTTCCCTGTGCTGTACAGTAGGGCCTTGTTTATCTGTTTTATGCATAGTGATGTGTATCTGTTAATCCCAAACTCCTAATTCATCCCTCCCCACTCTTCCCCTCTGACAGTTTGTTTTTTGTGTCTGTGAGTCTATTTCTGGTTTGTAAATAAGATTTGTATCCTTTTTTAGATTTCATGTATAAAAGCTACCATATGATATGTCTTTCTCCGCTGACTTACTTCACTTAGTATGATAATCTCTAGTCCATCCATGTTGGGGCAAATGGCATTGTTTCGTTCTTTCTTATGGCTGAGTAAATACCCCATTATGTACGTCTACTACCTCTCAGATCAGGCTTTGCCACTGGCAGGCTGGCGGCCCTGACTCAGGTCTGTAACCTTTACCTTGGCTCCCATGTCCGTACAGTGAGGGGCGGGACCAGCTAAGTTCTGGGGTCTCTTGTTGGCCAGCTCTACCAGCCTGTGA